AGGCCCGGCTGGCAGGCGGGAGCTCCGTCAACCCGCCAGGCCCTGGTGCACCTCCAGGCCGCCCTGGCGCCCCAGTCACTCCTTCCGACCCGTCTCACCTTCCTGCACCCGAACCCTCGGAGGAGGCGGGAGAGAAACCGCCTCTGCACCGGGGAAAACAAGGGAAGAACCTCAAACCCATGCCCTGTAGCAAAGTACTTTTGGAAGAAAAATCTAGACGCCCCCTGATTGTCTTGGCTGGAGAGTAAACCGCCGGGTCCCCAGGTAGCAAATTCAAATGCAAGGTCACATCCCACCCCAAACTGCTGCTGCGGGCGTGCGACCGAGGCTGCCTGAGCCCAGGACGGGACTTTGGCCCTGGCCCTGCCTGGAAACCGCGGCGCTGAGGAGTCCGAGGCCACGCGAGGGGCTCGGTCCTGGAGCCAAGTGGCCGGAGGGACGCGCACTCTAAGGAAACTGCTCGGCCCCTTCAATAATTAGTCACCAGCTGTCAACGCCTTAAGCCGGTCTACGAGGCCCAGCAAAGACCCCGAACTGGGAGACGGACCGCCGGCCAGCCGCCCGAGTCCTCCGGGGACGCCGGGATGTCACCTGCGAGATCCAGAAACGCCCTCCTTTCTCGGGTTGCGACCAGGTCCCCTGCGACCTGGGGTCTGGGCCGCATTTGCCTCTCGCTCCTTTGCTTAAAATACGTGCACTTTCCTTTGCCCAGTGCGGGTCCACCCTGGTCTTACAACAGACAAACCTTTTCCTTTGCAAATCTACACCTGTTTGGGGGATTCCGGATAACCCTGGGGCCTACCTAGCAAGGGCGCTGCCCATGGAAGTGGGAGTGCAAATGGGAGAACTCGCCCCCCAGGTCCCGGCCCGGGTGCAGCCGGTCCCTCTGCGAAGTGCTGCGGGGCACTGTGCCGTAGGCCGGCCTGCGTTTTCCTGGACCGAGAGGAGGCGGCCAGGAGAAATGCGTGGCCTGCGACTCGTGGGGCCCGAGCCTCTGCTCCTGGGGAACCGCGGCTGTGTCACTGCACCCACTCACACCTTCGTTTGCGTGGGCAACCCTTAGGCTAAGGGCTCCGCCGCTGGGTTCCCACAGGCCCAGCTCCAGCTCTGCCGGGAGGGCCCCTCGGCCCGGACACTGGCCCGAGCCGGGCGAAAGGAAGCCCCAGGCTCCGGGCCGGCCGGGGGAGAGGCTGGGAGGGGTCCAGGTGTTGGGTAGAGAAGCGGAGCAGCCCCGGGGACTTCTCCGGTGGGAAGTAGGCAGCGCGCGGGTGGTCGGGCGCAGGGCGGCTCAGGCACCAGGGCTCGGGCGCATTCTCCCCACCTGGTCCGCACCTACCTGAGCATCCGGTCCACCTCCGCCCGCTGCTCCACCGCCTCCTCCGTGTTGAGCGCTTGCAGCTCCTTGAGGATGGGAGGGGTGTCATAGTCGTCCCCGTCCTCGGAGCCCTCGTCCCCGGACAGGCGGCCCTTGGCGTGGCCGTTCGTTAAAGTATGGAAGACCGGCTTGGTGTCGGGTTCGGCCCCGCTCCCGGGGGACAAGGGCAGGGTCTCCAGCTTCACCCCGAAGCTCGGGGAGGGCAGCAGTTCCTCCAAGGCCTGGACCAGCACCTCCTTGGTGACGCCGGAGCTCAGCAGGGCGCTCAGGAGTTCTTGCTGCAGCGACGTGAGCTTGGACACCATTTTCCAAGGACAGAAAAGGAAGGGGGGGATGTAGGTGCGAGAGAAGAGGGTGGTGGGGAGTTTCACAAACGAACCCCAAGTCCAGGAAGCCCCCACCCTTCAGCCTCCAGACACCTGTTACTCCCCGGGGTCCCGGAGTCTCCTCCGAGAAGTCAGAAAACTTCTAACTGGCCATGATCGCCACCATTAGGCCATATAAGATATGCAAATCAGCGGGGAGGCCGGCTTTCGGCAAGATGCAAATGACGGTGGGGAGGGGGGAAAACCGAGAGCGGGAGAGCCCGAGGGGCAGACGTGGGGAGCCGGGGACCCGGGCGGGAGCGGGGCTGGCCGGGCCCATTGTGCTCCCGCTGGGGGGCCGAGGGCCTTCTTGTACTGGTTCTGTTTATCAGCCAAACTTTAGGCGACCTTTGGACTTGGGAAGCAAGGAGTGTGCAGCCCGGCGTGGAAGGCTCCGGGCTTTCCCACCGGCCGCAGGGCCGGCTCTAGTCTGGAGAGAAGAAACTGCGCCTCGGGGGCCCAGGTGAGAGCTGGAGGACCTTGGGGTGTTCTTGGAGCTAGGAGATGGAGGAGGAGGGGAGAGGAGAGTCCCTCCGAGGCGTCCGAACCGACGGAGGGCCGGGGGAGCAAGCGGGGCAGAGATCCTGACCGCTCGGGAAGGGACGCCCGGACCTGGGGGGAGAGGGGGGATGAGTGCAGGGACCTCGTTTAGTTGCGCTCTGCCGTCCCCCGGCCCCCTCTAGCCGGCTCGGCGGTGAGATTTGCAGAAATGTCGCCTCTGAGCGTAGGCGAGCGGGAAGGAGGCGCAGGCTAATGTATGGCCGAGGGGGAGGGGGGGCGGGAGTAGCCAAAGCTCTTGCCCCAGCACCCAGCACCCGGGCCGCCCCAGCGCCTGGCCTGGCCCAGCTGTGCGGAGAGCTGGACGCTTGGGCCTCGCGCTCCAGTTTAAAGCCAGAATATCAAAGCGCCTCCGCTTTCGGGGTAAAATTAGGATTGAGGGGGGGCTCCTTTCTAGCAGTGAAAGCAAGGCGCGGCCTGCATGCAGCTGGTGGACAGTGGGCGGCCGCGCGTCCCACCGTGACCCACTGCCTTCTGGTTTATTCACAGCTGCGGGACACGAGCGGCTCCTGGTCTAGGCCGCACTCTGCAGACGCAGGGAGAACGCACACGTTGAGAAGGCGTCCAAGAGGGAAATTCGTTTTGTTTCGTTTCGTTTTGTTTTTCCCACCCCGGTCTGGGCCAGGAAGGAGGCCGAGAATCTTTCGGCACCATAGACACTTCACCTGCATCTCCCTGGGGCGTGGGCAGGGCAGGAAGGAGGACCACGGGCACCCCATGAAGACAGTGCAGAAGAAAGAGGGGAACGGGTTTTTTTTTTTTTTTTTTTTTTATAGGGTCGACTCATCACAGACCCATAGTTTCTGGGGCAGAGAACATCCCTTTCCGCTCTCTAAGCCTCAGTTTCATCTGTAAAATACGGATCCCTGCAGTGCAGGGGTGGGGGCTTGTGTGCATTGAAGGGGACTCCCTGGAAAACCCCTGGGGTCTGATAATACTTGGCAGTCTGGGGAGGCAGGAAGCCAGTTCCCAGTAGTAAAATCTAGCCCCTCTGGAGGCTCAGGGTTCTCCAAGTCCAGCAGATCCAGCGTTGGAGTTGGAGGGACTAAGTGATTAGGAACAAAAATTCAGACCCCTCAGGGAATTAGCAAAGCTGCTTCTAAGCAAATTCTCCTACCATCCCCACTTTTAACAGGTAATTAGGAGGAAGTTGGGGTTAGTTTCAGGAAGAGAAGAATTTCAATGTGGGGGAGGAAAGCTCTCAATCTGCTAAATTCAGAGTCAAATGTAGGTGTAGGAAGGCCGATCCTCCCAGTGTCACTGATCCAAGTCAGGCTGCTAAGGAACTAGGCTGTCGCTTTTCAATACAGAATCTGCTGCACATGTGCTAGGAGCCAAAAAGAAGGGGTGGGGGGGGAGGGGTTGTGTGCAAGGAGCCCTGGGGGAAGTTTGCACTATCTCAGACTCTCCCTGAGAAAGGGGTAGGTAATAAGTTCATGGAAATGAGGTTCCTTCATTTCACCTTATTGTCTTCTGGTTTGTTGTGACATATGGGAGGTCCTGGCCCCTCACAATTCGGCCCACTGGGAGAACATTCTCTGCCTACCCAGCTCCCCTCAGCCAAGATAATGAAGTGTTGAGAGTAAATGTCCCTGGAGAACACGCTCTTTGTCTCTGTCTCTCACTTGCTGTCCTGATGGGAGCAGTCAAGTGTGATGAAGATCAGTTTCTGTGTTGAGCTGGGAAAACCCATTAAAAAACCAGCCAACACTTCCCTTTTAACCACAGAACTTGGATTTGTAGTTCCAACTGCTCTGTGCCCAGTCTGACACTCGAGCTCCTTTCTCTCTCAAAATCCAGGTGGCGGCAAACCCGTTCTTCCTCCTACCCCAAGCAAACTATGTGGACATGCAGGAAGTTTCACAAAGTAGAGGGGAAACTTCCTATGAGTGTCCAGATAGTCTTGCAGGTGATGTATTTCTACCCAGCAATTTCCGGTAACCCCCTGCCCAGATGGACCTTGTGTATGCCACCTAGTGCGATATGAGCGCTCACAAAGTAACTGCAACTACAGGTCTGTGAACAGATCCAATACCTACTCCTTCATATGGAAATTTTAAAAGAAAAGTGTAACCATCCCAGCAGATAGTCCTACAGGATGTGAGGCAAAAATGCTGGCTAAATGAATTGTCTCATGAAATCCTTTGGTTAAACTTCCCCCAAACAGAAGAAACAAGAGTACAGTGGAAATACTCTTTGTTTATGCTTCACCTAGGATAAGGTGGCAATGGACTGATAAAGCAGCCCCATTTTAAAGATGGGAAAATAAGACAGGACATTTTAAGGAGTTGTTAATGTAAAGGCTGAGTGGTTATTTCTGGATGATGCCATAAAGGTAATTTTTGTTTCCTTATTTGTACTTCTCAGTTTTCCGAGTTGTCAGCAAGGAAGTTGTGGAATACCTTTCCTAAACACAAAGGGTATATTCTATGTGATTCCATTTATACGAAGTTAACAAGCAGGAAGAATTAATCCATTGGGATTGAAGTTAAAATCGATGTTACTTCTGGGTATTCGTAGAGTTGGATGGGTCATGAGGGAGCTTTCTGGTGTGCTAGAAAAGTCCTATATCGCGATTGGGATGGTGGGTACATCATCAGGCTATACATTTAGGGTTTGTGCATGTTGCTATAAGTTATAACTTAGTAAAGAGTAAGTTAAAGCAATAATTCCAAAGTGTAAAATGTAAAGAGTAGATGGAAGTCACCTTCTTACTCTATCCCAACTGTTTACTGTTGACATGTGACCCTCCAGCTTCTTTTCCATTTACCATATATAGTCTATCACCATTAAAACCTATAGACCGATATATTCCAGGGGTTGATAAACCTTTTCTACGAAGTGCCAGATAGTAACATATTTTAGGCTTTGCGTGCCATGCAGTCTTTTGCACAAGTACTTAACTCTGCTGGTATAGACAATACATACATGAATATGTGTGGCTGTATTTCAATAAAACTCTATAAAAACAATGGGCTGAAGACCTTGTATGCATATATGCATAATCCATGGACCCAGATAGTGGGGTGGTAAGGGCCTGGGGCAGGGAGCTGGGGTGGACTGGAAGGGGGCAATGGGGGAATAAAGGGGACATATGTAATACTTTCAACAATAAAGATTTAAAAAAAAACAATGGGCTTGGCTGGATTTGACCCATGGGCGCCAGTTTGTCAACAGTTGGATAAAGCACCCATGTAGGTAGAAATAGATGTGAAAGAGACCGAGGGGCATCTCACTTCACTCGTTAAGTTTGGGATGAGGAAGCAGATCCAGGGAGGAGAAATTACTTTCCTAAGAGATACAGCAGCGTGCACTAGGGAAATCCTGGCTTTGGAGTCAAATAGACCAGTTGCTTTCTGGAAGGGTGTGTGTGTGGGCGCTGTCACACACAGAGCAGGGCCCGGGGGGGGGGGGGGGGGGGGGGGGGCACTTTGGGCAGGTGACTTAATTTCTTTCAGTTTTTATATGATCGCCAAATGTAAATGGTGATAATAATGGAATTTATACCTCATCGGGTTATTGGAAGAATTAAATTAGATAACACAGAAGAACACCTTGTATGGGGTTGGCACAGGCAGGACTTGGTTTCATAAGTGCTTCCTCAAACATAGCACGTGGCTCAGGGACTCCCTGCCTTCCTCCACTCCTACCCATTCTAAATGCACAGCTTCTGGGGTAAGTTCCCTACAAACACGACCAAGTGTCTACTATGGGTGAAGCCTTCTGCGGAGAACTGCGAGGTAGTAACAGATGGACACGGGAAGTTCTCCAACCCCATCAACCCCGGCACTCAGCTTCCCTTCTAGACATCCCTCCAGCTCTGCGCTTTTGTTTCCCTATCAGACATTATCGGGGAAACTCCTAAGCGTAGAGGAGATTTCCCTCATTTTGATTCAACAACTCACATCCTTCTGCTGGGTCATTTTTAGAAATAGGGTGTTTCCAGTAGTTTGTAAAAGATTAAATTAAAAATTAGCGACCTAGTATGCTATTAAACTAATAAATACTACACCTAGCAGAGAGAGCCTTCACTCCGGAGCAATAATCTATTCCCCTTTCTTTTATTACACCCATTAAAAGTGAGGCTGGCAGGGGGCCCAGCACACAGCAGGTGCTCCATAAATGTTTATTGAATAAACAATATGGGCTAGGCTATGGTGTTTAGAGAGGGGGAAAAAGCAATGCCCTTTACTAAAATTTCTTAGAATCTGTTTTCAGATTAATATTCAAATACATGTTAATGAGATGCCCTTGCTACTCTTTCTCCTTTGTTTCTCCTCACAAATCTATGAGGTAGACCATCTCTCTGCATTCATGAGGAGGAAACGGAGGCTCCAAGAGGGTAAGGATTGGCCCAGGGGCCCACAAACAGAAACGGAACCTTGGACTTGAACTATGGATTGCCTAATCCCATGCTAAGTGTCTCCCGTCAGCTCTTTCCCATCTTCCGAGCCCTCTACCCACTTCAGCAGAGGGGGAGCACATAGAAACACCCGGAACAGTCTCAGCACAGAGAGATTTTGTGATTGTGTGTGTGTGGTGAGAGGGAGACCAAAGTCTTCCTAAGGAGATACCTGCCACATAAAGAACTATCATGTTTGCTCAGTGTTTTATGGTGTGCAAAGATCTTTCTCCTTTTGTGTGATCCTCAAAATAGTCCTGCAAAGAAGGGAAGGCAGGCATTACTCACATTTCACAGATGAAGAAACTGAGGCTCAGAGAAAAAAAATGACCCCCTGAAGATGCCAGAATCACCATCTATTGACCCAAGTCATCTGAATTTAGACTCCACTGTCTTCTTTACAAGATTGTGTTTGTATAATGACAAGATTAGTGCAAAACGCTGCCCAGGAGCAGATACAAGACCTAGGAATAAGACACGATGAGAGACCCGCATTTCTCCGTCCAATGCCATGCTTCTGTGATGGAAAAGCTTGGAAGGGTGTCGGCAAAGGCTTTGGGTCCAATCTATGAGTCAGGACCTGCTGCCTACTTGGTATTACCCTGGGTCTTGCCCACCTATGTCTCCTCTCCTCTCATTCTAGTTCTTAATGGTAGAGCACAACCAGGGAGGACCGTGCCCCTGCTCTGCCAGCTTGTGTCTGCTCAGGAGTGCTGTCCACAACATGCACCTTGGGCATACAGGTGGCCACTAGGCTTCACGCTAAGGGATGGTATCCTTTAGTGCCCTGGTAAGTAGACAAAGACCCTGCTTCCGGGCCTGGGGGTGAAGAGCCATCAGGGGTGCTGAATCAATGTAGCAAACATTTATTGAGCACCCACTATGTGCTGGGCACTGCAGGAGGTATCCAGCACTGCTGGGGTGAACAAGGTTCAATTTCTGCTGTAAAGGAGTTGGTTATATAGTGGGAGAGACAGACACGTATGCTCTTAACTTCTATTGCTAGATAGAATGGAACAGGCTTTACACTAAGTGCTGTGCTGATTGCTGTACAGGAAGCATCTCATTTCCTCCTTATAACAGTCTCAGGAGACAATGTCATTATTCCTATTACTAGTTTTCTCAACTGATGCTCCGAGAGCTTGGCTTGCAGAGAGCCTGCTGTTGCTCACACCCAGCTGAGATTCAAAAGCAGCTCTGTCTGGCCTCAGACATTTTCTGTACCAGCCAGGAGGCAGCGGCAACACGGGGATCAGTGTGGGGCTCGGAGTCAGGCTCATGTAGGTTTGAAATCTGTCGCTGCTGCTGCCTAGGTGTGACCTTGGGCAAGTTTCCACTCTGAACCTCAGTTTCTTCAACTGCAAAAAGGAAAACAGTGTAGAAATTGGCAGGAAAGAGAATAAATATAAACAACTGGCACGATTAATAAGTAGCAACAAATGCTAGTAATAATAGGAGCAACGGCCAAGTTCTGTGGGGGCTCAGAGCCCTGGAAGGGTAAGATTTTGACAACAAAACACCAGAGAGCATTTCAGGCAGAAAAGAGGAGCTGAGCAAAGCTTAAAGGTCAAACCAGATCCCACAACTTTTCCGAAAACTTGCTTTAAAATTTATGATCTGCAGCAGGAAGCTTTCCTGATTAATCCTTTCCCTTCTAATCATCTCATCTCCACCCACCCAGCCCCCAGCCCTGTAACCTGGGATCCGCTAAGGTCTCCCTTCTTCAGGAATACCCCAGCTAACCCCAGGTTGAGTTCAGCGCTTCTCAACTGAGGGTGGTTTGGGCCCATAGGCGAGATGTGGTAATGTGTGGCATCCTGAAATACTAATAATTTTGCCTTTGAACTTCTGTTTTGTAAGTGAAATTTGATGGGGTAATGGAGCATGCCCCAGGGACTTAGTGCCTCGGCTCACAATCCCACCCTGCATGTGCAAGGCCCAGAATACGTTCATCTATTCATCCACAGGCATCTATTCAAGCGTTTACTAAATGTGAAATGCTGGGGATTTAAAGGCATAATTCCTACCCTCAAGGAGTTCTGTCTGGCCAGGGGAGCCAGAGAGTTTGAACTCCACTTAATAAAGCATCACAGTTGCTGTGAAATGAGCTCCCAGAAGACGAAGGATTACAAAGAAGAGAGAAGACCCCACAACGCCTTTTCTAAGGAACTCTCGTAAGCCAGTTTGGTGTAACTCAATCATTTGCAGCACTTAGCTTGTTTGCTTACCAAGTAAGTACCTTTCTGGGTCAAGCACTATTCCGGATACTGGAGACACAGCAGGGAGTAAAACAAGAGGGTCCTGTCCTCATAGAGCTGTCACTCTAGCGAGGGGGCAGAGGCCATGAAACCAGTCAGTGAACACATACGTAGTACTTCAGGTGAGGGCAACCTACGGGGAAAAATCCAAGGGCGGGGGGGATATAGGAGGGGGTGTGGGAGGCACTATTGTGAGTGAGGGGTCTTCGGAGGGAAGACTTTTCAAATAAGTGACATAGACCCGGAAATCAAACGTGGTGTAGTTTCTCTGCAGTGACAACACTTCTTGGGGTGTCAAGCCTCCACCCTCCTCACTGCTCAGGCCCTACATGCACCCCCAAAGTCCCCTGGGAGTGCAGTCAAAGGCACTGACCATAGAATAGCAATGAAAAAACGTTATTCAGAGTTTAAGGGGCTTTTCTTTAAAGCAGAAATTGGTCAATGCTCCTCTCAGTAAAAAATAGTTTGAGCACCTCAATCCCATTATTTCCTGACTCCATGTGCTACTGTATTAAATAGTTTAGGCTTGCCCTGATCGGTTTGGCTCAGTGGATAGAGCGTCAGCCTGGGGACTGAAGGGTCCCGGGTTCAATTCTGGTCAAGGGCATGTGCCTTGGTTGTGGGCACATCCTCAGTAGGGGGTGTGCAGGAGGCAGCTGATCGGTGTTTCTATCTCATCGATGTTTCTGACTCTCCGTCCCTCTCCCTTCCTCTCTGTAAAAAAATCAATAAAATATATTTTTAAAAAATAGTTTAGGCTTATTATAAAGCCAACAGGAAAATATAAAGGCCATGGAGTTAATATCAATATAAAAATAAGCGCTAATATTTTCAGCCTATACCTACAACGTATCACCTTGTACACTTCACTTTGGGACCCCTGTTTGGATGCATGAAAGTACTACTGCATTTTATTTTATTTTATAAGTGAAAACCTGGCTAGAGATCACCAACTATCTGCCTCTTGGGATTCTTTTTAAAGATT